TGCGACCCTCGCCATGCAATCGGACATACAGGTCTTTGTGAAGTGGAAAGACCAGACTATATTTGCAGGGGAAGATGTGGAATGTATAATCACCTTCAAGAACGTGGCAGAGACAGACGTGGAGACAAACAATGGAGGGCAAGCTTCCCATCAACGAAAGCACTCTCGCGCTGGCAATGCGCAGGCATCTAACTCCGAGTCCTACTTCGCCTTGAAAGCTCCTCAAAATTCATTGTTTAGTCCTCACCGCCGCTCCTTTCCCGTTGCGCCCAGGAAGAGCCCCTCGCATCGAATATCCTCGTCGTTGAGCTCCCCGTTGATCGGCTCGCACAGCTTCCCTCCTCCTACCCCGCGAAATAACCAAAGCCCCGGGCACGAGCACAAGCGCTCCGTGTCTATACTGTCAATCGAAAGTGAAGGAACTGGGGATAAAACCCCGAGGTCGTCGTTCCAGTTTAATCGTTCCAGGCCGGGGAAGGGTCATGGTCGTTCTGCGAGCTTGCAAGTCGTACCTAGAAGGTATGAGGGGTATGAAGATAGCTTTGCAAAAGGTGAGGCTCGCGCTACTGCCCTGACTTGACGATCAATGATACTCATGTATTCCGCTACTTAGCTGGGCGAAATACCGTCCGTGGGATTTCCTCCGAGGCTGGCACCAACCAATTCCCGGGTAATCTGAGGCCAGACGTGGATGGGCCCAGCAGAGTCAATCGCTCCGGATCCAACGGGCAGAGACCCATTCAGCCTTTAGGATCCCCTCGTATACCTGGAAGCAACCCTCAACTGCCGACTATGGATTTCAAATTCCCACCTGCTCCCACATCCGATCCTAACAATCGCCCGGCCCTTTCTCCTGCGGCAACGTCTAGTGATGAGAATACCGGCTCCGTGTCGACAGGACGATCAAATGGGAAAGAAAGTCCAGCAATGCCTCCACCTGGCCACCTACCCCAGCTTACACGAATAATCTCTACATCCAGCCTGAGTGGAAGTCATAGAAGCAGCGGCGAGTTCTACTCCGCCAGCGACAACTCCTCAGAGACTCTTCAATCCGAATACACGAATTACTCTGCAAATACACAACGGCCGAGTGGTCCTCGTCACGCACGTCATTTTTCGAGTGTGGATACGGGACCGAGACTACCCAACGGCCAAACTCTCCTCATGGGCTATGCCCAAGTCAGCGCATCCTTTACCGTTGATGGCTCGTTAATCAATCAAGCAGCGTTTGAAGAAGTCAAACGAAAAGGGGTCGTTGGCAGTCAAGGAAATGCACCTGGTATGCTAAATGGTGGATCCGCATCAATCAGCGGCAAAAGCCGTAAAAGTGGTGGGTTCTGGGGTGCTTTCAAGTGGAATGCGATAGAGGAGTCCATAAGCGGTCTTCTATCCAACAATGAACTCGATGGTCTTCGTGATATGCGTGGCGTTACTTCGTCACGATCGATACCTTTGTTATCCACTCCGCAGTCTCTTCTTTTTGTGGATCTGCGACTGGCACGAGGAGAAGAACAGTCGTATTCTTTCTCCTTCACTCTTCCCAAGGGACTTCCTGCGAGCCATAAGGGCAAAGCTATCAAGATATCATATAATCTAGTCATAGGTACTCAAAGGCCCAGTGGGTCTAACGAACCTCAGCGCGTGAATCGCATCACTATCCCCTTCCGTGTCTTCAGCGGAGTGAACAGTAAGTCCTATCGGTCGTCCTCCTTACCTGACACCTGTCACTAATTTTCTTAGGTCAAGGAGAGATCCTTGGTCATAACCTGATGAGCCCTTATGTACTTCTTCGAGACGAAGCCAGGGTCCAGAAAATAGGCTCTACCCCCCCGCCAGTGCCTAAGAGTAAGAGCATTAGCGGGCATGTATGGACTTCAGCACCAGAATTTCTTTCCTACGTAGACGAACTCCTCGAGCAACAATCTCGCAAAACTCTACTGCAACCACCAGATCTTGTCAACGCAAGACGCTCCTCAAGCTATGAACCGTTGGCCGGTCCGCTTTCCTGCAAAGACGCAATTGACTTGGCCATCCTTCGAAGCAATCAAGCAATAAGCACGGCGCGCAGCCCCAACCGATTTGAAATTGCCCGCAATGGGCGCCGCATCGCTGTGGTGGTACTCAACCGGCCGGCACACCGATTGGGGGAAACAATCACCGCCACGGTGAATTTCACGGATGTCGCACTTCCATGCTACGCTCTGCGGGCCACACTGGAGTCGTTTGAGAAGGTCGCAGCCTCACTGGCAGTTCGGTCAAACGCTAGCATCCACCGGGCCACACGACGAGTGCATGCATCCTTCTTCGAGACTACGCTTTATTCCACACGAGTTGTTTTCAGTCCTGCAGTTCCCGTTTCCGCAACGCCGACTATCATCACCACTGGAGTCAACCATGAATGGGAGTTACGGTTTGAGTTTGTGACTACCAGCTTACACCAGGAGCTGGGTTCAGGGCTCTCCGGTGCTAGGCTGCTTGAAGTGGTTTCCGAGGACGACCGCGGGCAGGTTATGTCAGGCCTGGAGAATCTCGGTTGTGAGTCCTTTGAGATCGCAATCCCCGTCACGGTATACGGAGAGACTGTTCGGGAGAGACTCCCGGAAGAGAACGAGGGTTATTCTATCTAGAGGTATATGTCCTTCTTCATGAGCGTTTGATCATACCCCATTGCGCTTCGAACGAATCGGATTAATTCGCCCATGGTCTTCTCGTGAGACTCGTGTAGAGCAGCGCTCACCAACATGATACAATCTCATAAATCCTTTAACCCTCAAACGTAGACAAATTAGTATCTGATCAACTGCACCTACTAGATAATCGAGTACATCACACTTCAGAGCAGAGAAAGTGAAATCTTTGGATGAAAGTGGTCACTGGGGCAACCAATGGGGCCTTCCGTCTCGCTCCCTTGAGGCATCCATGGATCCCGACCGTCAGACTGCTCCGCTTGTGGGATCCGATCGGATTTCCTGCTTGTGGCCAGCTGAAGGCCAGGTCCAGGTCTACTCGTCATATCGTCAACTTTAAAGCTTGCCTGTTGATCATCGTGTTTCCTGCAGCTAATCTGTTTGTTTGCTTTTTTTTCCCCTTCATCGTCCGCATCGGAGATATTAGCCTTCCCCTTGTGCCTGAGTGTCTTCTGAAACGCGACATTATTTTCTCGCGTTTTGCCCCTCCTCTCAGCCGACCGTCCAGAATCTCCCAAGTATTGGCTTTCGTCGTTCTTCCGGTTAGTGAGATCGAGGTTCCAGAGATCAGAAACACCCAATACGGCTCGATAGCTGACCCCTCTGGCATTGGAATGTAGGCGCATTTCGCACTCAGCAACGCATCCGCAGATCAGTCACATTTTTAAGACTCCCATACCTCCGAAACGGGAAAAATCAAAAGAAACGCCGTTGTCCTCTTATAGCGAATACCTCCAAGGAGGCATTGAGGTCACAGAGCGGAGACAGGATGGCTTCACTTATCACCACCATGTTCGTGCCCTTTAGACCCTTTATTCCCTCTGCTTCTACTTCTTCCTCATCTACTTCTCCGTCTGCCCCGCCATCACACCAACTCTCCGCCCTCACCCCGTCAATCTCATGCAGCACCATCCATACTTTCCGTGGTCCGCTTTCGGAGCCACCTTCTTACCTGTCTCCTGCTGTTCGCGCGCTCAAGCAGAATCTGTGTGGACTGACACCTCCCAGCAATGCGCGAACCAGGGCGCCGTTTAAGCCACGGTCTGCTGCCAAGGGCACGAGCAGTTATCAGCTGAGGCAGTTTGCAGAGGCGACTTTGGGGAGCGGGAGTTTGAGGAAGGCTGTGAAGCTCCCCGAGGGCGAGGATCTGAATGAGTGGCTTGCAGTCAACGGTGAGTCTACTGGAGAGGTTGTTCCGGTGCCCTGAGCGTGACTTAGGAATAGCTAATTGGGTGGATTTTCGCATTAGTGGTCGACTTTTACAACCAGATCAACCTCCTCTACGGCGCAATCACGGAGTTCTGCTCCCCGCAGTCATGTCCGGAGATGAAAGCCACCGATGAGTAGGTCCTCTGACTTCAGTAACCAACGGGAAGCTTGCAGCTGACCAAGGTTGATGCGACAGGTTCGAGTATCTCTGGCAAGACTCGGAGAATTTCAAGCGACCGACTAAGATGTCCGCCCCAGAGTACATCGAACATCTGATGAGCTGGGTCCAGAGTAATATCGACAACGAACAGATGTTCCCAAGCAGGCTTGGTATGACACCATTTTGGACTTCAAGAACAATGATGGGGCAGGCTGACGAGTATAACAGGAGTCCCTTTCCCCAAAGCATTCTCAAGTTTGATTCGCCAGATCTTCAAGCGACTTTATCGCGTGTATGCGCACATCTACTGCCATCACTACCCCGTGGTTGTCCACTTGGGACTCGAGCCCCATCTCAATACCAGTTTCAAACACTATGTTCTATTCGTTGATGAACATCGGCTGGCGACCGGCAAGGATTATTGGGGTCCACTTGGAGATCTCGTCGACAGCATGTTGCGGAGTGACTGATTTCTATTCTCGGAATGCGATTGATGATTGATGACTGGGTCGGAATACTCCTCGGTCGGAGGCAGGTCGAGGAAATATTGGCGTTAGGGTGTTTGCATTTCTTTCAGATCAATTTCCTAGAGTGGCAGAGACATTTCTGTCCTTGATACATCTTTTAGTGAGAGAGATTCTTCAATGTAAGAGTATACATTAGTATTGAAGGAAACCAATTCTGTCAACACGTGCTTTGCACTTGTCTTCAAGTTCACTCATTTCATGCTGTAGGAGAGATGGCTGTCACTAAGAGAACCCGAAATTCTCGGCGTGTGCGGAAACTCACGTGACCGGAACCGGGAGAAGTTGGACGTCGTTTCAACTTCGCGAGAGACTCTCCGGCAGCAGACCAACGGCCATTGCACCCCTCTAAACGACGTTCCCACGTCCTATATCCGCCCACTCTCCCTCCTCTCGAGGTCTTCTCACATCACCGCCACGATGAACACCGCTCGTGTCGCCCGTCTTGGCCTGCGTGCCACCCAGCAGTTCTCCGTCCCTCGCTCTGCCGCTCTCAACGGCTTGAGGACTTATGCTACCCCGGCTCAGAACGTCAAGCCCCCCGTGGCTCTCTTCGGCGTTGATGGAACCTATGCCACTGCTCTGGTACGACTTGTATTTATATCTGGATACCCCTTCGATGCTCTGCGGATTGGGTCACAGTCTGCATTTTTTTCCGCTCCGTTGACCCGACCCCCCCCTTCTCTCCGCCTGCATATCGCATCAAAATCCATATCGTTCATCCAGGAATCACTGAAGGGCATTGAATATGAACTAACAGCTAAATTAATAGTACACTGCCTCTGCCAAGTCCTCCACTCTCGACCAGACCTCCAAGGCTCTCTCCAGCCTCGGTCAGACCTTCAAGGCCGACCGCAAGCTGACCGGCCTCATCGCTGCCCCCACCCTCTCCGCCAGCGACAAGCAGCAGATTATCCAGGAGCTCCAGAAAATCGCCGGTAGCGACAAGGGCGACATCATCAAGAACTTCCTGGAGACTCTGGCTGAGAACAACCGTCTCGGCCTCCTTGAGGGCATCTGCGAGAAGTTCGAGACCCTGATGGGTGCTCACCGTGGTGAGATGGAGGTTACCATCACCAGTGCCCAGGTGCGTTTTGGCTATTGCCTTATGATACCACCGGACTTGTCGCTCACACTACCCTCCTTTGCAGGAACTCGACAACAAGACCATCAACCGCCTTGAGAAGGCCGTTTCCAAGAACGAGCTCAGCCAGGGCAAGAAGCTCAAGATCGTTACTAAGGTACGCCTATCACTTTCTCCCGTCACTCATGACCGCCTGGCTAATGTCTGTGTAACAGGTCAACCCCGACATCGTCGGTGGCCTCGTCCTGGAGATCGGCGACCGCACCATCGACCTCAGCGTCTCGTCCAAGATCGCCAAGCTCAACAAGGCCCTTACCGATGTTCTGTAGATTATAAAATAGGCTAGAATTTGATTTTCCCTTTGCCATGTATCGTACAGTCCCATAGTCGTGCGTCGTCCGCGCGGCTTCCAGGAGACAATCCTCGAGTTCTGGAAAGCAATGAGTGGACAGGATGAGAGTTCGTTTCCACTTTGATATTTACATTTCATCTTTTGTTCTATCTTATAGTGTGCGAGCATGAGGGGAAGGGTGTGGTGTGGATGAGGTAGTGAGAATATGTAGATATCTATGCTATGCCTCATATCTTGGTAGATGACCGTTGAGTGGCCATTCTCAAGGGTCGATATATCCGATAGTATATCTAAATAAGGAATATGGTCTGTATCAAACCGCCCCGTTATCCATGCCCTGGTATGTAACCCGGCGGGTTCTTTGCCGAAAAGCGAGCAGTTCTCTAATAAGAAACAAATATAGGAATGTGGATATAGATATGGAGACAACAGACTCGAACAATCTCTGTCTGAGCACACTGATAACGGATCGTTTTCGGTTTACAAGTATGTCAATTCAATCAAAAACGATATGCAATGCAATTCTACCTCGTTAGATCAACTATGTATAACAACATAATGCAGTGCCAACATGCGCAAGCACTTCGAATTTTACCCGAACCTACTTCTTAGGAAAGGTGCATCACTACATAGGAAGTCTAATGACCGTTCGTAGTGCGATCAGCCTGTGCCTCGAACTCATCCTCGTAAGCCCCGATGGACGCGGAGCTTCTCACGCGCTGCAGCTGACTCGCGACGTAATTGGAGACGTGCTCGTCGACTCCGTTGCGGAGGACTCCGCGGTCATGCTCGTCTTCGGACAGGATTTCTGCGGCGGGGGTCTCGGTGCCGGCGAAGGTTGATTCGAAGTCGCTGCGGTTGCCGATGGAGCGGGTGGTCGACGAGCGCCGGAAGCTGGGCTTGCGGCTGGAACGGGGCCGGCCTGAGCGGGTGAAGATGTCGTCGAAGTAGTGCGATGCGGCGGCGAAGGGGGAGCGGGGGGTGTGTGGGAGGCGGCAGTTGACTCTGCAGAGAAGGTTAGCGGTGTGGGGATGGAGTGTCAGACTCTCGAAGATAAACTTACCCAGTATCGTGGATGACCTTGGCGATAAGACCTGTCCATCCGCATTGGTGGGACGCTCCTAGTCCACGTCCGGTGTCACCATCGAAGAACTCGTGGAACCACATATAGTCCTTCCAGTGCTCATCGTAATCGAGGAAATCTGAGCCATCGTTGACAGCTCGGCGACCTTGGTCATTGCGAGCGAAGAGGTGCTGCAGACGATGCTGAATCTCCTCGGCAACGTGGCCCAAATGCATGTAGTCTCCAGAGCCTGTGGGACATTCCACCTGGAAAGAATCCCCATAAAACATGTAGAACCGGAGAAGGGACTCAACAAGTAAGAAGTTGACACACAGCCAGACGGGTCCGCGCCAGTTGCTGTTTCCTCCGAACAATCCACTGTCGGAATCGCCTGGGACATAGCCGACTCTGAACGTCTGGCCATTGACGTCCATGGAGTACGGGTGCTTCTCATGGTACTTCGACATAGACCGGATACCGTGCTCCGACAAGAACTCGGTTTCGTCCAGCATCCTCTTGAGAATCTTCTCCAGACGATCCTTACTTACCAGTGACAGAAGGAGTCGGTCGTCCTTCCCGCGCCGTTTCATGCTGGCAATGTTTCTTTCTGCAACATCCTGCCTGTTTTCAATGAACCAGTCCATTCTCCTCTTAAATGAAGGGAACTTGTTTATCAGCTCAGGTTCGAGCGTGAGAACCGCATACAGAGGAATCAAGCCCACCAGCGACCTCACAGGAAGCTGTTGTGTCCATGGCTCGCCGTAAGAAATCGCGTCGTAGTAAAAGCTGTGAAGCATCAGCTACTAGCCCGCCCCTCTTGACTGTTGCATTACACATACCCGTCTTCTTCGTTCCACAGAGAGGATTCCTTGCCTCCTGACTTGAAAGTCATAGCATCACTAATGAGAAGGAAGTGCTCGAAAAATTTGGACGCAACTAGCTTCAGTTAGTGAGAAGTCCGTGATTTAATAGAAAGTTGACTCACTGTCTTCGTAGGTCCGGCGATGCTTAGCCAATTCAAGAGCTATATTGAGCATGCATAGACAATAGAAGGCCATCCAGCCGGTGCTGTCCGCCTGTTCCAAGACACCTCCAGTCGGAAGAGGCTCAGAACGGTTAAAAAGTCCAATGTTATCCAGGCCCAGGAAACCGCCCTCGAAAACGTTTTTGCCTTCTGAGTCCTTGCGGTTGACCCACCAGGTAAAGTTCAGCAACAGCTTCTGGAAGACGCGCTCCAGGAAGTCAAGGTCCTGCCGGCCGTACATCTTCCGTTCGATCTTGAACGTTCTGAAGACAGCCCACGCATGCACAGGAGGGTTGACGTCTCCAAAGTTCCATTCATAAGCCGCGAGCTGACCATTGGGGTGCATGTACCATTCACGAGTAAGGAGGTCCAGCTGCTTCTTCGCGAAGTCTGGATCGATCATGGCCAGTGGGATGCAGTGGAAAGCTGTATCCCAAGCAGCGAAAAAAGGATATTCCCAAGAGTCCGGCATAGACAAGATGTCATCAATGTATAGATGCTTCCATTGCTGATTGCGCACATGCTTCCTTCCCGGGGGCGGTGGTATCATTCCAGGGTCTCCGTTCGCCCATTGGTCCCAAACGAAGTGGTAAAATTGTTTCGTCCACATCATGCCCGCAAATGCCTGTCTTTGAATATTACGCAGATCGTCACTCATCGGAAGAGGGCTGATTCGGTAGTAGAAGTCGTCAGCTTCTGCCCTTCGCTGCTCGACTGTATCATCCAGCACTTCTTCGTCGATGAACTGCTCGTTCTTGCGGGAGAACCTGAAGCGGACGACTGCGCACTCGCCTGGAGGGATGCCGTCTCCCTCGTCAAAGGCATACCAAGCGGCGAACTTTGTTCCCTTGTTGGCGGGGTTAACAGCATCCCTCTCTTCGTTGACGATATGGCGATGGAAGGCATCCTTAACGTAGGGCTGGTCGTTCTTAGTGCCCCACAGGAGCTCGTTGTTCGTCTCGTTCTCAGTGAATAGCATACGAGGCATGACATCCTCCTGACAATCGCCGACAGCTGGAGAGGGCGAGAATCGTACGTATCGCTCTCCCAGCTTCTTATGAGAGGTCTTTGCTGTAAGCTGCGACACTTTCTCAATTGAGGGTTTCTCCTTCTCATTCTCATACCCCCAGGACCAGGTGTTTCGGAACCACACATGAGGGACTATGTGCAACGGAGCGGGTTCCGGGCCTCTGTTGTAAGCAATGACACGGAACATGAGTTCCTCCTCATCTTCTCCCTCTTTGGCAGTCTCAATGAAGATGTCCCAGTAGCGATTATCGTCAAATGCACCGGTGTCGAGAAGTTGATATTCACGGTCCTGCCTTGAACGCCGCGCATTTTCGTCAATCAAATCCTGGTAGGGAAATTTCTTCTGAGGGTACTTGTAAAGGTATTTCATGTACGAGTGCTAGAAACGCGCATGTCAATGCAACGCATAGTTAAGCAGTTGACGGGAGTCCCTTACGGTTGGGGTATTATCCAGGTGAAAGTGAGCTTCCTTGATGCTCTCACCATGATTTCCCTGAGGATTCGACAATCCAAACAGGCGCTCTTTCAAGAAGTCGCTGTTCAACAGTCAATGTCCGAACACAGCTGAGATCACATATCCAGAGAGCGTGCACGTACTCCTTCTCATTCCAGAAGGCAAAAGCGATATTTTCTAAGCCATGGGTATCCGAGACACCAGCAATTCCATCCTCGCCCCACCGATATGTTCTTGACCGGGAGTGATCGTGGGAGAAATCTAACCGTAACAGATACGTCGATCAGCCCCGCGCAATTCACATGTGGATAAGACGGACTTACAACTCCACGCGTCTCCATTTTCACTGATAATTCGTCAGTAGTTGTGCAAAAAGCATTGCATTGGACACATTGACGATAATGTCGAGGAAGCCGGAGAAGCACTTACGAATAATCTTCTCGGACTGCAGACGGCCGGGGATGAGATTATCAGCGGACAAGCTCCGAATTACCAGTGATGCCACTGGAAGCAACTCATGAATAGAATGAGAACTCACCTGTGGCCCATTGTCTCTCTGCGACATAAGGACCCCATTTCTTCCAGTATCTGGTCCGTTCACGGTCCTCTTTGAGACGCTGTTCCTCTTGGGTGAGGTACTCTTGCTTGTCAATCAATACCATGGTTAGATAAACCGGAAATCGATACTCCGGAGAATCTAGGAGAGAGAAGGAAACACGTAAGTAATTGAATAGAAAAGTAGAAGAGAAAGAAAGGGTGAAGAGCGAGTGTGCGGTCACGCCAAATAATAATACTACTACGACTACCAAGAACTAGCCGACAGGGCAAGCTCTGTTCCTTGACCTTGGGTGTAGTTACATTGGATGCAGGAGGACACTTGAAGAGGAGCTAGCTACAGCTCAGCAAGACAGATTGACAATGACAGAACCTGATTTGTCCGATGACCGCAGCGGCTTATCAGAAATTGATAGCCATAGTAGTCTGGGCTCGTCGCTCGGCGCATCTTTCTGGATTGCTGGGGATTTCCAAGGTTTGTTAGCTGTGAAGGTGGAGCATCAGAGGGGTAGAGGACAGTAAGGGCGAGATCTGACATCATCGACAGTCAAGCAGTTTAGGAGAATGTATGCAGCTTTTAGCTAGATATAGTGGTGCATAATTGTTTTTGATTAGAAGTTAATATAACTAAATATTCTTCTCTGTCATAATGCATCTACTCGATTGGACCTCGTTGATAACGTAGAGATCAGTGGCTATCGCAAATCAAATGCCAGATGGGAGCATCTACATCTCAGGTTCGCAAGCATTTCCGTACGAATTCCTGGGTATCTTTCAATTGCAGCGAGCCATCCACTGTAATTCTAGCATGGAAACTCAGAACCATAATTCTCTGCAACTAGAAAGTTTGATTGACATAAAAATTGGGATAATCTAACGTCGAGTCCACTGTATTGCATCCATCGGTATAAGTACAGAATGCAAGCCCCTGACTTGGGAATTTCTTTGCGAATGAATAATGTTCGACAAGCTCATTATATCATCCTAAACGGTGCAAAGCTCTTCAACAGCCCTCTATTCAAAAAGCATCAGTTGGGCTCCCAGGAAAAGAATCAAGGCAGTGGCGCTTTCCTACCACTTTTCGTCGCTGCGAAGGGAAATCCTAGGTGGCAAGCGGCTCGTTCGAGAAAGGAACGAGTCAGATGTATAGAGGTAGTAAATCCCAGGTTTGTGATAAGCAGACGGATCTCATGTAGATCATATGCTTGTGTTTGAGATTTATATCTGCTGCTCGCTCTCAAGTCCAAGCAGAAGACTATGGTAGATTCCTTCATGTCAAGCCGAATAAGGAGGATGGTTTTCATACTACGGCAGACTGATCGAACGCCTAGAGGAAATGCTCTATCTAAAATTGCAACGGACCCGCCGTCTGCTAATGCAGGATTCCCCTAAAAATAGAGTCAAACCGAGACACTCACTCGTCCTTCCCCATCGTCTATTTAATGGACAACATTTGAAAGTCGACACCTGTTAAGAATTGCAAGAAAGATGTCTTCTCAGCATGACAAAAATTATGATTAAGTGGTAGTAAACGATAAACACATTGTACGCCACGACAAAGTGAACACAAGTCTCCAGGTGAAGAGGATTGTCGCACGGCATATACATGCACAGATTTGACCTAGTATGCCAGTGGCTGCGGTGCTCTCCAGAACCTCATGGCAATCTGGACAAAAGACGTTCCGACTTCGTCCACGATCTGTGGTATATGTTGTTGGAAGACGATAAGAATGGGAGGAGAATACACCAGCAAACTTGATGTTCTCAGCCATGTCCCTTGAAAGGTGGTGAAGAAAAGAGTAAAGTTCATTGCACTGAAACCGCATTCGTTACCCATACAAACTAGACGAGACCAGCCTTGATTCCGCAAAGATCAGTCACGAATTGCGGTTTCGGTCTTGCTCTGGCTGTTCGTCACTGCTGGAGTACTGCCCCGCTGAATCTGTGGGAGAAGTTGCGGTCGAAGCAGAGGACTCTTATGTGTCGGACGAGATTTTGTGAGCCGCACTGATACACATACCGATAGAAGACTGTCAGTTTTCCTTACCTGCTGTCCGATATTCATTGTCCACCTTCGGCGCACCTGCGCTGTGTCCCGAGCCGTTTCCATCCACGATAAGTGATTGACGAGCTTTCAGACGTCGCTCGGTCTCCCTGATCTTGGCCTGCAGTTCCTCAAGCTCTCTCGTTTTTATAATCATTTGAAACCTCCTGAGGTACCAGGGCCATTGGTCAACCCAACTATCTCGTCATACAGTGAGCAAGCCTCTAATGAGAACTTACTTCTGATCTATAGTCTGCGACAGGTGATCCACATCCGAATCCAGTGCGAAGACGCTATCCAGCGTTGAGGAAAAGGCCTGAGCCATGGTCCTGCCATGTCTTGGTCAACGCCAACGTTTTGATATCGGGCGCAAACGGGAAGACGAACGACTGCGGGCGACCCTTTGGTTTCCATTCCTGCTCCATGTCCGACATATTGCACTATTGTCAACAGTGTTCGATTATCTGAGATCAAATGCAGTACGAAAGTACAATCTGGTCGAGAAAGATAAGATGTATAGACGCTGTCAGATCGGTTGGTTGCCTTTGTTCCGTTTAAGGAGACAGGTGTTTGAGCGTGCGTCAAGAGGGGGGAAAGGGTGGACTAAGGTGATCGGTCTATCGGGCAAAAAGGTAAAATTAAAAGGAATAAGAATTTAAAGTGAGATTAATATAGTAGCATGAGACCAGGACCGGCTGAGAGTCTATGAGAAAGCTTGATGGACGGACGGGATTGATTGCTGGATATGCTGCCACTCCTATAGACCACAAGGGGAGGAACCGCTCTGCGAACCGAGCAGGAGAGCAGCAACGAGGAGGCTATCAGTGTCACAGTGCACGGTCGGAGAGTTACAAGGCGCAACAAGCAGGTGTTCGGCTGTCGCAGCAGGAGTACCAAAGACCAAAGCAGGATTGATGAGAAAGGGAGGGAATTGGAAACAAACAAGATGAAAAACTAATAACTGATAGTTAGTACATGTTGATCAGTAGTACTTACTAAATTGTTGCGCTATGGTACCTACTGCTATTTCTCCTGTCTCCTTTTTTTCTTTCATGCTTGCAGTAATTAACTAGATATTTCTCCATACAACAAGTCGTCGAACTAAAATTATGGGGAGATTAGAAGCTCCATTCTGGTGTCCACCATCCACCATTGCAGAAACTCCTTTGTGTATACTTCCTGACCTTCTCGTTCTGGAGAAGCCGCAGGTGCAATGAGACGAGAACTCTGTTGTACTCTATCAGCTGTTTACCCAACTTGGGAGGCACGCACTGCAATGCCACTATCAGCTTCCAACAGTTGGACAAGGAGCTTCGAGAAAGGGGTTTCTGACCTTGCTACCCAGGCTGACTCCATGAGCATTTTGCCTAGTTGAGAGAAGCCCCTGACGATGTGGGGTATTGTCATTTTAAGGTATGTACCTTGTAATTGTCATGTAACGCCGCAACATTTTTTATCGTACGCCATATCAGAAGTGCCAATGGCAGACGTCATACAATAATGATATCCCAGGAAAATTCTCCAGTAGTAATTGAGGCAAGGTTCTCCATAGGTATCTCAGCCCCTGTTTCTTTTCCTCGTCCGTAATGCGCTCGTTAGTGGTCAAAGCACCTCTGGCTTTTTTTAAAATGGCTGCCCAGAAGACTTGGAAGTTTGAATTCTCAACTAGCATGCCAATGTGTGATTCTGATCGTTAACTCTTCATTCTCCAGGATCAATAGGGATGATTAATGCCGATGTGCCCTGGACCTATAACACCTCGCATGGTATGGATATAGGTAGTAAAATGGCATGCAATTTGTCGTCATGCTGCAAGATAAAGTAGCGTCATCGCCAAGGTGCCTCATCTGAAAGGGACCCCCTGGAAGGAGGTAAGGTACAGGAAGTCGTACTGAAAAGTAATTACATTAAGGTAGCCATTGCATACCAGAATTCCACATAATTTTGGGCATGTTGATCAGTGGAAATAACTCACGTGATTTAGCCCCTCTGTTGGGCGGTCGGGGTCCTTTGTCAAATTTTCCCTCTCTGGAAGGAAGCAGAGACCACCAGAAAGCAGTCTTGTCATAGCAGTAGCTCATCCCTCTGCACCCAGCAACGTGTTCACCATATTCTCAACCCATCAAGAATTCAATCTACTCATCAAATACAACCTTTCAAAATTAAAAATTTCTCTGATTCAAGGCATTATTTTTCCCCCCTATTTTTACTGGCTCACTTTTTGTCGGTTTCTGGAGACCCGTGTCTCCCTTGAGAGATTTTTCTCCCTGCATTTTCCTGCACTAATGGTCTAAACCGCTAGCCGCACCAGTTCTGGTCGCGTTCTCCAGTGGTTTGGCTGATTAGAGGATTCGGGTCCATCGGGCAAACCGCCGACATCGTCCATCACCGTGGCCCCCATCTCTAAATCTTTCTCCCCCAGTGGCCGAGCAAACGGGCAATGGGGGATGCCTCCTCTGTCGGCTTACACTCCTTTTGAATCTCTCCTTTTCTTCCAGTCTCTTGCCACCTTGGGTACCCGTCCTATCAACTTCGCATCCATCTCCGATATTCTACGTAACAATACGTTCGTGCGCGAGAATGTCGCATTCAACGCGGACAGGCTCAGCCCGGAAGCTCTCGAGGAGTTGTACACGACCTTGATGCGAGATGGACTAGATGGCGCTGGAGCCGCCTCACTTCCCGAACAAAATGGTGTACATCCCGAAGGCGCTCAACCCACTAATCCGCTGAAACGTAAGATCGCAAGTCCACGTCCGGAGGTGTTAGTTGATAAGGGAAGAAGCCATGCTAGCTTTCTTCCCGAGTTAGTGTCTCATCTCTATGCCAGATACAAGGAACTCGCGACCAGAGAGATTCGGAACGAGGAAAGGAAATATAAAGAAATCAGTGATGAAATTGAAAGGCTACAGAAGGGGGAGCGTCAGAAACCCTCACAGGCAGCACCTGCGCCAACGTCTGTACAGGTATCCACAGCACGAGGATCACAAGCAAAACAAGACTTTGCGCCAGAGCCCATGGACTTGGATGTCAAGGAGGAAAGGCCCGCTCAGCAACTTCGGCAGGAACCCAGCCAACCTGCAGTCCAGCCGCCGTTGGATTCCAAGGTCAAGCAAATAGACCAGGAACCGCAGCGCAAGGATATTGCACCCTCTCCACCGCAAGAAGAGCTAGTGCAACCGACCGCGCCGTCGACAGCGGCCGCAGCGTTACAACAACCGCAGGTGCAACCCACTCAACCGCCAGCTCAACCGCATCAGGAACAGCTCCGAGTGGTGCAGAAGCAACCGCAACCACCTAATGCTCAACATTTTCCGCACGCGCATGCTGGATTACCCTCACAGCCACCGGTTGATGGTCAGGCATCCTCGGCAGTCCAACAAGCACCAGCCAACGTGCCTCCGACAGTGTCTTCGGCGCAAAAGGCGAAGATTGGGCCTGCTGTACCTTCGCAAAAGCCCGCGGCTGCCCCAACTCCGAGCCCGGGCAATTTGCCAACTTTTACGGCGGCGCCCTTGCAAGCTCAGCATGACGTTCACAAACCTTCTCCTGTTCCTGCTTCATCACCAGCTTCAGCAACCAGACCTGCAGGCAAGAAGGGTGCTTCAGCTGCCACGTCTGTCTCAGCATCTCAACATCCCACACCCCAGCCAATAATTCAGCAGTGGTCCTTACATCAGCCACCTCAGACTCCGCGCCCACCGCCTTTTACCTACCCGCAACAACAGGCAGATAAGCGTGCTACGGTGGGGGAACCATCCGCAACCCCTCTCCAACACACAGCGAAACTCGAGCCTGGAAAGACGTTTCAAGCTACTCCCCAGACGCCTGTACCTTCCACGCCAGGGCCTTCTTCGGCACCGATCGTATCGACAGGTGTCAACGGCTATGCTCGGGGTTACCAGACGCCTGTCGGAGCAGCGCAAGAATTGCTTTCGGAAGCGCAAAGTGTCCATCGCCCTCAACTCTCCGTCGATACGAGATCTTCTACACCTTGGAAGAAGACACCTCGACTTAGCATTCCCCTGTCGCCCAGATCACCGATTCGACCCCGGCCAGAGGATGTCAGCCCTATTAGCGAAAGAGCCCCATCGCCAATTGAGTTTTCTGAGCCACTTCCAGAAGAAACAGGAAGCCGCCGAAACAAACGCCGCGCCGTTGAAGAAAAGGGGGCGAAAGCAATCCAGGAACCCAGCCTAGCGCAAGATTTGGAACCTAAAGGGCGGCTGAAAGCCAAAGTAGAAAGAGTCACAGGGTCCGCTACTGGAAAGAAACGGGATCGAAGCACGACCTCCTCAAGAAGCCGAGGAAGGTCCGTAGTATCCCGCGATGAGGAAACCGTCGCCGAGGCCGGAAACGGGCCTATTGGAAAGATCAAGCATGAGTTGCCTGGTACACCGGCTAATATCCCAGAGACATCTGAGTTGGAGGGCCGTGCCAGTGGAGCCCGAAAAGGCGCTGCCGCATTTTCTCAAACCGAAGAACGTCCAGGGAGGGGGCGGCCGAAACGCAAACGCGGGATCAGTGACGCCCCAGAGCCAGAGCCAGTCCCGACTGAGCCTAGCCGGCCGGAATCGACACAGTCCGCATCGTTCGTATTGTGTCCTCGTAACTTTCCCAGAACTGGAGCACCCATAATGAATGATGTGACCATGCATAAGCATGCCTCAATATTCGCGAAGCCGCTGGCGGAGCGAGATGCACCTGGGTACCGAGATCTCATATATCGACCGCAAGATCTGAAATCCATCAAGTCGTCCATCCATCAAGGCAGTAGAGCTGTGGCTGCAGCTACAGAAGCTGCGAGCACGCCCGCTGCAGATGGAGAGTCCCCGGCTCCCAATGCAGGCACGACTTCCAAGAACGCTGTTCTAGTGCTGCCAAAGACTGAAGATGTCATTCCTCCCAAAGCCATAGTCAACTCGGCACAGCTGGAGAAAGAATTGATTCGCATGTTTTCTAACGCCATCATGTTCAATCCCATTCCGCAACGTGGGTTCGGACCTGCCTTCCCGATGATCAGCGATAGTGGGTCACGAGAAAGCACGCAAGTCCCCGAACCGGATGAAGGCGGCATCATCAAAGACACTCTGGAGATGTTCGAAGATGTCGAGCAAGCGGTGACGAGATGGCGGGCGGCGGAACGCACTGCTGATGAACTAGCGAGCAAGAGCGTCTTATCGCTTCGAAGAGGTAGCACGAGCGATTTGAACACGGATAGCGCAGATGAAGTCAAGGGGTCATGACACGCTGTTGGAGCGAATTGGACGTTATTGGCTGAAATGTATGATTAGCGGGAAGGGATCTGCCTTAAAACTCTAGAAAGGCCATCGTGTATGTGTAGGTTATCTGTGCCAGAGCGCTGTTACAAGCCAGCCACAGGCATCATGAAATGAATCTAAAGGAAATACGAACGATTTCACCAAGCCGCATTATTGTTAAGACGTTCTCGGCGTTTGGCATAAGATTTCCGGCATTATTTGTTGTTTCTCTTGACCATCATCTTTTCGAATATCGTAACCTTTTTTCTTTCATGCCTTTCAATCATAGACGGAAAGTGACTATCAAGCAGCCCCCTGTAAAGCTTGCTGAGGCTTTGTTCTCCCTAGCCCCTCTTTAGCATAGAAGTCCATCGGATATACACCCCTGTTCGCGCTATCCCAGTGCTCCCTCACACCCAACGCAATCAAGGCCTCATACGGCGTCAGAAGCGGTCGCGGGAATGCATAGCCCCAATCGATACTCAACCTGGGACAAGCGATCTGCACCCAGCACTCGACATCCGACATAGACGCCAATTTTCCGGGAAAGATCTCGCTCAGAAGCAAGTTGACGAAGGGGATACCGCGCTCGTTCAGGTGGTTCTCGATCATAGCCATGGTGTTCGGGTTCCCTTGCCGGCCGAGCGAGCCTAGGATGATGCCCCATTTCCTGGCCGATTTGGCGGTGTTGATGGCGTCTCGGCGGAGGGTGTGCATCTCGTCGTGGGAGTAGGTCTCGCGGGAGAGAGTGCGCGAGTACGGGTCGTAGCGGTATGCGGGGATGGTAGGGTTGTGGATCATTGCGGACTCGAGGTGAAAGCGGCCGTCGCCGAGGTAGAGGAGGATATCGATCTCGGTGGGGGAGAGTTGCGGCGAGGTACAGCCTAGGATCTCGCCTTTGGACAACGGTGCGATTTGCGGAATGACAACTTTGAATCCGGCGCGTTCAAGCACGGGTCTGAGGCCGTGAAGGGTTGCGTTGAATTGGATCGTGCCCACGGTTGCGATGGTCTTTCCTGGCGGGAAGTTGCGCTCTAGCGTGGCAATCAGGTGAGAGGTATCGATGCTGATGTCGACGAAGATATACAGAGTTTTGATTTGAGTTACATCAACGGGGATGAGGCAGCTGTGCGCATAGTGGACCAGCAGGTCGCATCCTAGAGCACGAGCGGTATAGTCGTCGATACAGCAGGCGCCGTAGGTGACATCGCCCATTATCAAGGTCTCCGTCCCCGGGCAAAACTGCGTCAGGATATCAGATATTGTGGTAGCGAATATGAGTAAACCCTCAGGAAATTGTAGAGCAACACGTTTGGCGCCTGACGTCCTTATCCGATGGATCGTCTTGGGTATCTCAAACGAGTAATTCTTGGGCAGAAGTTCAATCGCGGCCTGTATTTCAGGATCTTCCAGGATCTCAGGCGGGACTTGATTCAGTGTTCTTGGGTTTTTTCGGGGCGCGACTGTCAGAAAGCATCGTCAGCATATGTTTGCAAGTGCGAATCAGCATACAACAGAAGACCGGTCACTCACCTCGTTGAATGCTTGTAGACTCGACATCTTTCGAACTTGTAGAGACAACTTTCTGTGCTTGCGCATCTGCTGTACGTCTTCCAACAAATCTCTTCTTCGGTTGCCGAAGATTGCTAGCCAATGCAGTCTCTTCCATCTTTGATTCTGGAGCAGCAGAAGAAGACATCAATGGCTCTGTCATGATGGTCTGTCGATTCTGCTCGTTTCAAAAGTGGGATGGGATGGTTTTCTTTTTCCTAATCCTGACTAAGATGGACCACAAATATTGATGGTGGCGGATGGATCAGGTGGGGTCGCCGAGTGTAACCAAGCGGCTTTTCTCCGCATTCTCGGCTCGATAGAACGTCTAGAGGTAATGGCAGCTGCTCATTCTTGTCTTTAGGATACTCGTGCGTTCCCGATCAGCTCTTCGACTGACGTTGTCTTCTGGTCATATTGTATTCCCTTGAATCATGGCTTTCAGACCGAGATTGAACCTGTTCTCTGCCCTTCGAGCTGCTCCTCCTGCTCGACGCTTTGCGACAGAAGCGCGGCTAACCTCGGACCACGTTCGCATTGTCGAAGTAGGTCCACGAGATGGTCTACAGAACGAAAAGAAATCCATACCACTTGAGACGAAGCTGCAGCTCATCGAGAAGTTGGCCAAGACGGGAGTGACGACCATCGAGGCCGGATCTTTCGTACCTGCGAAATGGGTGCCACAGGTATACATCTCATGATAATCAGCAGATCTGTTTGAAGTAGCGTATGAAGTTTTTCGACTGACTGATTCTGGGTCCCATCAGATGGCTAGCACTGCAGAAATCTGCAAACATCTGCTCCAAACACCACCCCAGTCGCAGCATGCTATTGCTTATAATTACCTGGTACCAAACGTCAAGGGGCTTGAGAGTCTCATCAAGGTCATGGATGCGACGGGTTCCACAGCAGAGACACCAGGCTCAGCGACCAAGCCTCCAACCTCTACTGAAATTTCACTCTTCGCCGCGGCAACGGAAGCATTTTCCAAAGCCAACACCAATTGTACCATTGCAGAGTCGCTCGAGCGGATCCGCCCCATCGTAGCGTTGGCCAAGACGAAAGATATCAGGGTTAGAGGGTACGTTTCTGTGGCTTTGGGCTGCCCATACGAAGGTCCAGATGTTCCACCAGCCAAAGTCGCGGACATCACGGCCACACTCCTTGAAATGGGCGCTGATGAAGTGTCGGTTGCGGACACCACCGGCATGGGAACTGCTCCACGGACACTTGAGCTTCTCCAAGCACTCAAGGCCGCCGGTATTGCAAACACAGACCTGGCACTTCATTTCCACGATACGTACGGCCAAGCCCTCGTGAACACCATAGTAGGGTTGGAACATGGCATTCGGATATTCGATAGTAGTGTCGGTGGTCTTGGTGGCTGCCCTTATTCTAAGGGTGCTACTGGTAACGTATCAACCGAGGACTTGATCCACACACTGCATGGACTTGGCATGCATACTGGTATCAATTTGGAAGAGATGTCCAAGATTGGCTCGTGGATTAGCAACGAGCTGGACCGGTCCAATGAGAGCAGGGCGGGAAAGGCGATTCTTGCGAGAATTCAGAACCAGTGAACATAAGGCTGTTTGATAGCCTTTTATATTGCTTTCATTGTCAATAGCCATGGCTTCCATGTTCAAGCTATGTCTTTGCATTGTATACTTCCTCTTCGTGACTGTTTTATATATTTCAAGTAGCGTCAAGGAGTCTCTAAATGCGACCCCACCCGCTACGATTTTGACGATGGCGGCGAAGACTCTCTAAACTCTGGCGTATACAGAGGATGGCCACCGCTCTCACTTAGCAAAACTAGTAGACTAATCTCAAAGACATTGGATGTCTGATGTAACACTGTAGATGTAGGGATACACCCTGAGTTCAAGACCCCTGTCAGTCTTAGAGGCGAGGCTAACCTAGACAATATATCCTTTGCGGGGAAGTAATAAGATCGAGGCAC